AGCTAGTTTTAAAAAGCTGGAGGGAACCATATTACTCCAACAACCTACTGACAAATTATACATAGCAGATCAAGAAATATATGTCTAAGTAAGGTTTATCTGAGAACAATTGGTCTTTGCCCAAGATTTATCGACATGACACACAGTAATTAAAAGTACCTGACTGGTGGAACTAACCTTCTTGGGGGTTTAACAGACATACTTTGAGGCCTATACTAATTTGGTCAGAGGGACATAAAGGACACTTTTTGCTCCTTTCCCTCCTAGGTCGACTAGTTCCAGGGGACTATGAGCATCTCTCATAATGATGGGGAATTTTAAGAGAAAGGGAGAGCAGATGGAAGTGATATGGAGGGGAAAGGTGAATAATGGAAAAGGAAAGGTTACTTGGAAAGGGAAAAGGAGAGGGGAAGGAGGGTGGGGAAGGATAACTAACACTAAAGACATTTGGGAAAATTTTATAAAAACCTAAAACTCTAGGAGCTTCATAAAGTATGTACAAATGCAAATATAAAAGGAATTTAAGTGGTGTCACCCTATAGCAGGGCAGCAATGCACGCCTGGACACCCAGGTTATCAAACAAAAAAACCCAGTGCCCGGTATGGGGTACTTCTTTGGTAGCTGTTGGTCAGTGCAGTGCCTTAGACCCACCACCACCACCACCACCAAGGCTGTTGACATTGGTTTTCTTTACTCCCAGACTTAATGGTAAAACTCTTTTGCTGAAGAGACCACATACTTGAGCCATCAGACATGGAAAAATCAAGCTGGTACTGACCTAGAAGCTTCATCTCTACTGGCTGGCTTTCATGGTACTGGAAGAAGAAAATTCATCATTTGTCTTACCCAGCTATGAAACACATGTGATACAGTAAAAACTGGCCTGGCAATATATGCTCACTGGTGCAATAGTGGCACAAACGTTAAGGAAGTAAGCATGAATGTTAAGGGTGTAACCAACCACTTTCTGATTTGATTTAAAGCCTGCTCCTCAAGACAGAACTCATGCCTGGAACCATCAATTGGGCCAAAAATTTGTGGCTGGCTAAGTCATAAGCCCTCAAGGAGAACCTATTACTACTGTTCACTAAATGGATATAGTTAATAAACTGTCCTTCCATGTTCTTCATACCCACAGATTAGTGCATCTCTTGAACCCTCATCAAAGAAGTTTCTTTTCACAGTAGATGATAATTAATACAGAGACCCACAACTGGTCAACATGAAGAGAATAGGAAACTACAGAATGCTTAGCTCTAAGTAGGGCATCTATAGCACACCTCCTCCCCCAGGCTCAGGTATCATTGTGGAAGAGAGGGCAAAAAGATTGTAAAAGCCAGACTTAGTA